ATCTCCTAGGGCAGCCATAACCTCACAGTATAATCTAAATCCAGCAACAGAGACTTGGGCCCCATTGTATAAATCTTTTAATTCAAAAGCACTAGTTGGCATCTTTCTGAAGGTGGAACTCAATTAACTGGGAAAGACTGGAACTAGAAGAATGCAACATTCTGTCCAGCCAACAGAAGACCCCTGATAGAAGTCCGGCAAGTCTAAGTCAGGCCAATGGACCAAGGTATGTATGATGTGTTAACTGTGCACATGTAAATCCTACCAGCAATTATACCATATGTAATTACACAGATTCCTGGGCCACAGTCAATAAACTAACTGATCTGGCAAGTGGATCACAGAAAACGCTATTTATGTTTCTTCCCTTTCATGGGACAGGACTTCATGTTTAAATTTTAGAGACTGATTGTTCATGTTGATGCCCCCTAGTCTTAAAAAGAGGAGGGAAGTAGCCAGGTGCGGTGGCTCACGCCTGTAATCCCAGCAATTTGGGAGGCCGAGGCAGGCGGATCACGCAGTCAGGAGATCAAGACCATCCTGGCTAACAAGGTGAAACCCGGTCTCTACTAAAAAATACAAAAAATTAGGCAGGCGTGGTGGTGGGTGCCTATAGTCCCAGCTACTCGGGAGGCTGAGGCAGAAGAATGGCGTGAACCTGGGAGGCGGAGCTTGCAGTGAGCCGAGATCGGGCCACTGCACTCCAGCCAGGGCGACAGAACAAGACTCCGTCTCAAAAAACAAAAAAAAAGAGGAGGGAAGTATATCTTTGAAAGTAGTCACTAGAGTCCACGAGATGACACCTTGGGCCACAAGCCATGCACACACATGCTCACAAACAACATAATCCCCACCTCCATCTGTTGCCACTTGTGTCACCCAGGATGGTCCAGATTGTTAACAGCAATGGGCTCCTGTGCCTTTGGTGGGGAAATACACTTTGAGGGTTTATGGCCCATCACAGAGCTGGCAGGCTGCCTATCCTGGACATATCACAGAGCAAGGGAAATTTAAAGACTTTTTAAAAACTGGTATTGACAATGTTTCTGGTTTGAGCTTTGCCCATTCTGCAACTAAAGATCTGACCCAGAGTACTATAAAAAGACTGGCAGCCCAGATCATCCACCAACATGATATCAACTTACACATCAACAGCTCAAGGATCACTTTTCACAGCATGAACAGGGCAAGAGTAGACCAAGAAATACAATATCAAATGACCTCTTCATATTTCACATCACTTCTACAAAGCAGCACAATTTTGAAAAAATTGGAATGTGTGCTTGAAGCAACAAAATGTTAGTGACAAAGGCACAGAGGCCTGGCTTTCCAGGGTAGGAGGAGCACGAGAGCAAGTCAACAGTGGACCATTGTCTAAGGCATAGGTTAAGAAATGGAGAGATAAGGAAACCTTTCCAGGACTAGGGATTTGATTGTGTTCCCTAAAGTAGGAATAATATAAATTAATTTAATTTCACTTGTTGGAACCCTGAAGGCATTTATCAGCCGTATTGAAAAATCTGGTATTTTCAAGAGGCACCCTACCCAGTGGAGAGGACCCAGTTACAATATACTTATTAAGTTATTTGAAAGTATCTTGGGAAGGACACATGAAGTAGGTTTAACAGTGTTACTTTTGCTGCTCACTATTTGAGGATAACAGAGAAGGAATAACAAAAAGGATAACAGAGAAGGAATCCAATACTCCTCCTTTAATAGGAGCAAGGGAATGGACTTAGGGATCCCAATAGGGGAAAAAAGGATGGTAGCAGAAAGAACTGGAGTCACCAGAAATACTGCTGTACTTTTGCTACTTTTGCCCTTTATCTTTAAAATGATGCTACTTTTGCCCTTTATCTTTAAAATGATGCTACTTTTGCCCTTTATCTTTAAAATAAGTTGCTAGTAAAATTATTTCTTAGCAATATTTTTAGATATGTCTTCAGTCTTATATGAGAGATGATGGCATCAGAGTTGATTCTACCAAACTGGAACACATTTAATGTTTTTGTCTTGATAAAACTGGGCCCAGAGTACACTTGGCTGAGCTGGATAGGCAAGGAGGAGGGACCGCTGTGAATGTAGCCAATTCCTAACGTGATGCTGGCACATTAGGACATGGTCTGTTGCTTGAACTTTTATCTTAGATGAAGATTTGCATGATACTCAATGAAATGAAAATCATGGAAGTGGTGATATCTGACAAAGTCTATATCAGGATATTTAACTCCGGTCACCAGTTAATGTGGTAAGCACAGGGAAAAAATGACCCAAGGAAGTCAAGCAGAACTACAAGTTGAGGAGGGACCATTATACTTAACTCTAAAGCATCCCAACAGCATCATAAAAAAGCTACAAATGTACCACCAGGATGGCTACAATAAAAAAGATAGAAAATGTTTGCGAGAATGTAAAGTAACTGGAGCTCACACACACTGCTGGCGGGAGTGGAAGTTGGAAGATCCGCTTTGGAGAGGTATTTAGTAGTCCTTACTAAAGGTGGACACATACGCATTCTATGACCCAACCAATGCTAAGTACACGTTCAGAGGACGTACATATATCTGTTCACTTAAGCGCAAGTACACAAATGTTCATAGCAATATAATTTACAATAGCAAATAACAGGAAACCACCCTTAAACACATAATTTGGATAACACAGAATTGATAAACTGCTGTCTATTTACATAATGGAACATTATATAATGAAACATTATTCAGCAATGAGTATGAATAATCTACCACCACACATAACAATATGGAAGAATCTTGCAAACATAATATTGAATGAATGAAGTCACACACTAACGAATATGTACTGTGTGGTTCCACAATAAACAAACAAAAATAATCTGTGGTATTAGAAGTTGGGATAGTGGTAACCGTTATGGGAGGGGTGACTGGAAGGAGGCATGATGGGGCTTAAGGGGTGTTGTTAATGCCTATTTCTTGAGCTAGGTTACATAGATCAGCTCAACTTTGAAAATTTATTGTGTTCTTTGCTTTATGCTTGTAAGACTTAAATTAAAAGTTTATTTTATGGCTGGGTACAATGGCTCACACCTGTAATCCTAGCACTTTGGGAGGCCGAGGTGGGCGGATCACCTGAGATCAGGAGTTTGAGACCAGCCTGGCCAACATGGCAAAACCTTGTCTCTACTAAAAACACAAAAAATTAGCTGGGCTTGGTGGCACATGCCTACAGTCCCAGCTACTCGGGAGGCTGAGGCAAGAAAATCACTTGAACCCAGGAAGCAGAGGTTACAGTGAGCACCACTGCACTCTAGCCCGGGTGACAGAGCAAGACTCTGTCTCAAAAAAAAGGAAAAGTTTATTTTAAAAGGTACTAGTTCAAACTTTGGAAGCAAGGAGGGAAAAATCAAACTAGAGCAATATTATCAAGCACAGAGTAGCATTGTTAGGCACTGAGATGTTTTGTGGATCCTGTTCCTTCTTACTTGGTCAAATATGGGTAGGAATAGGAATCTTACTATTGTTTCCCGTCTTCCATGTTTGTCCTTTGTATTTCCCATATGGGAGACTGGCAATTGTTGAAGCAATGAGGCTACGAGGACACTCAACATGGATCAAGGTGGGCTGTAGGATGGGCCCTGCCTGGTCTAAGGCTTCTTGGCTTGGCTCCCAGATATATCTAGGGAGCCCACCCTGCTCTAGGTCCATAGCCCTAAGTTCTGGAACATCCTTGGTCCAGTCCCAGTGATACCGGGGAGTTGGTACAGAAGGTCTTAAATGGGGGCCGTATTCATGCCTGAGCAAACTACATCGGACTGGGCCCCACCTTCACGCTGTGCTGTGTAATGCTCCAGAGCAGGGGGTGCTGGGCACGGCTCCCGGCCAGCCCATGCACAGATGCCATGGCCCTAGGGGTTTCAGGTTGAGCTGGGAAGTAGATGGTTCAGGTTCCCTAAAGATCTCAAGTGACCTTCACTCTCTCACAGTGTACCACCTACAACTGCACCCCACCCGCAGGCCACCCCTCCACCTGCCCACTTTGGGTGAGGTTGCCGGGGTCTGTCCCTAAGCCTGTGGTGATCTCTGCCAAGAATCCTGAGTGTGCTAACTTTCTTCTCGACCCTTTAGATAAACCAACCTGGAACACTGCTGACTTTCAGAGCCCGCTCCAGGCCACCAGTTCCTCTCCCCAGATGATACAATTGAGTTTAGCAAGGGTCATGCTTCATGGTGGGATAAACACAGGGGCACAACTCTCGAAAATGGGCAAACTAAGCTGTCAGTGCCCACTAACCGAGTGGTGCTGAGCCCTAGTCCGGCATGTTGGACCTCCCATTAATCTGAGCCCACTGCAGACATTTATCAATATGGCACTTGTGCATCTACGAGAAACTTGTAGTAGAGTGCCTGGAAAACTCTAAGTGCTCAGTAACCATGATCTGTTGCTACCACCACTACCACCATGATGTGTCTCTCTCCTTATAGTCCCAACACAACGCTTGGAACCTGCCAGATGTTCAACAAATGATATTCAGTGAATAGGGACCTGCCAGATGTTCAACTAATGATGTTTAGTGAATTAATATAAAGCGGGAGTACTACTTGCTGCCCTCTCTACTTCCTGGGACTGGTTGGAGCAATGCTTGAGCTCTTCCTCCTTGATACATGCAGGAGTATTTCCAAGAACACCCATTTTCACTCTCCATCCTTTCCATTGGGTAGCCCAGTGCCTCTCTTGCTCATCATTCTGTTTTATTTTCATCGCACTTATAATTCGCTGAAATTTGCCTTTTCCATTTGCTTATTAGCGTCTTTCTCTCTCCACCCTACCTCACCACACATGTCCACTAGAACGTTAGCTCTGTGAGGGCAGAATCCTTCTCTGTCTCATCTACCGCAGTATCTTAAAGTCCAGGACCTTGCCTGGCAGAAAGTTGGATAAGGAATGTTGAACGAATGCACGCACTCAGGAGTCCCTGTTGCAGACACCTCTCCTGCTCCCAGCCATCCCCCTTGCTCTGTTACCTCTCGGATCCTCTTCTGCCATTTCTCAGTGAATTTTGGAGAGTTGGCGTTCACCTGGCTGGCATTGAGTGTCCACTCAGGGCACTTCCAGGTGGGAAGGGAGAGCATGGCCAGAGAAGGTACCACAAAAGCAAATGTACCTCCCTGGAGAACGGGCAGCCTGGAGGGAAGGAAAGGATGCAGTTACCCATGAGGTCCTCTAGCACTGGCCTGTCACTGGCCCCAAGGAGGGTCTTCAATCCGAAGTCCTAGCCCAATTTATTTATTTGTTTTTTATGGATTTATTTTTTTGAGATGAAGTTTTTCTCTTGTTGCCCAGGCTGGAATCCAATGGCACAGTCTCGGCTCACTGCAACCTCTGCCTCCTGGGTTCAAGCAATTCTCGTGCCTCAACCTCCTGAGTACCTGGGATTACGGGCGCCCACCTCCAGGCTCGGCTAATTTTTGTATTATGTAGAGACAGGGTTTCACCATGTTGGTCAGACTGGTCTCGAACTCCTGACCTCAGGTGATCCACCCGCCTTGGCCTCCCAAAGTGTTGGGATTACAGGCGTGAGCCACCGTGCCCGGCCTAGCCCAATTTAGAAGCAAAACCATGACCCTTCTGTTCTCAGTTGCAGAGAGATCCTACCAAGTTTCAAAGCAGACCCATGAGCCCTGTCAAACTTTGGACAGGGAGGAGAGGGAGGCAGGGAGGCAGGGAGGCACCCAGATCCACACCTGGGCCTGGAGATGCAAACTCAGGAGGAAGGAGTCGCCCTGAGAAAGAATCTGGGGATGGCATGGAGCTCAGTGAACACACCTAGTGGGTGCCATTCTCTACCTCAGCCCCAGAGAACCCTCCGCAGGCCCCAGGCCCACAGCAGAGCTCCCATACCTGCAGTGCCCAGCAGTCAATTCTCCCACTATCAAGAGCTGCACAGCTTAAAATCTGGGTTGCCAGTTTTTTGTGTGTGTCTTCAGAAACCAAGAGCAATCCAAGACCTTCAGGCGCCTTCTTTTCGCAGGGCAATAAGATACGTCCTTTGTCAGGGTATGTTCCCAGCCCAGCCCTCCTCACTCCTGGTGGGGTTTTTACTTTGGCCTCTGTGAGAACTTCTGGCAGTGCCTGCCCCACCTGCCTTCCTACTGAGGTCAAGACAACCTGGTAAGTCAACCTACAGCCACCCCTCTTACTAGAGGGTCAGAGGCTATCAAGGCTTCCTGAGCCTGCCAGCTTTGGATATTAGAATTTTAGGGTAAGAAGGTGGGACAGAGGGACCATGGCATCTTGACTGCACTTGTCACTTTGACCCACCTAGTGCAGGTCCTTTTTCTGAATACTAGAAGGGTATTTTTGAATCAGTGCTTCATGAAGAAAGCATAAAGGATGATTCTTGAGAAGGAACACATCTTATGTGAAGAAAATATAGTTTATGAAAGAGTTTTGCTGCTGAAATGGACTTTGTGAGCTGGTGAACATTAGGATGCATGATTCCTGGGCATTGCCCAGGCAAGTCCGTGGGCTTGTCTGGGAATGGGCCCAGCATGGGGATTGCCTAAAAATCCTCAGGTACATCTAATGTGCAGCCATCCATGAGAACAGCTGGTCTAGAGTCACAAATCTAGACCCACAAAGCTCCACAAGAGAATGGAGCACAGTACATTGTGTACACGGGGTTGGAACACAATGGTGCCGCTATGTATATGTGTGTAAATGTGTATATGTGTGTGCATATTTTTTATTTTAAAATTACGAATCTGTCTGCTGTCTGGGAGGTGTGCCCTACATTTCAGGTATAGGAGCAAAGTCAGACACAATCCCTGTGACAGAGGTTTCCTCTCTAGTGAGGAAGGACAAGTATGCCATAGCACACGCTGATTAAGTGCTGTAAAAGGAAATTATACAGTGCTTTGCAAGCATGTAACAGAGAAGACTGCCCCAGTTTAGGATGATGGAGATAAGGAACTGACGGGGACAGGAGGCAGAGAACTTCTAGGCAGAAAAGGGCAGGTCCCTGGTGAAAACCCCACCCTCAAGCCAAAAAGCCTGAAACTGCGGTCTGAAGTGAGAACTTCTATCCCTGTTTTCCCGCTTGAATGTTGCTTTTTCCTAAACTACCCCTGGTCCCACCCTGCCCCATCCTGTGCCTATAAAAACCCCAGACTCAGTCAGAGAGGAGCAGAGACTGTGGCTGGATGTTGGAGAGAAACGGCTTCACTTCAGAGGGACAGCTTGATGGCATAACTTCAAGGAAGAATCCAGCCAGTGACAGCTGGACTTCAGAGGAGGATTGCCTACCCCCACCCCCAGTCCCCTTTTCAGCTCCCCTTCCTGCTGAGAGCCATTTTCATCAGCAATAAAATCCCCCACATTTACCATCCTGCAACTTGTTCACGCGACCTCATTTTTCCTGGAAGCTGGACAAGAGCTCAGGAGCCACAAGTGTGGATACAAAAAGCTGTCACACCAGCCCTTTGTCCTCACTGGTGGAGGGCAGCTGCCTCACACGAAAAGGCAGAGGGTCCACTGAGCTGTTAACACTTAAGCTGTCTGTGGATGGCACAGCTAAAAAAGCACCGTACCACACTCTCTGGGACTTTGGGGGTCACAGGCACCCCCACCTGGATGCTGCTGCAGGGCCCACATGGAGTTTGTTCCTGCCAGTGCTGAAGCAGCCAGCTGGTTCCAGCACTCATTACTCCAGTTCCCACCTCATTTGCTTGCATGCTCCCTCCCATGAGGAGTTGAAAGTGGTGCGCTGAGTAACTGAGGCACCCCTGCTGTGAGTCTTGCAAAGGGGTCAGGGAAATATCCTGCTTTAGAATATCCTGCTTCAGGCCTGAGATGTCAAAGGGACCATGTCTGACTTTGCCCCTCATAGTATCCTTCGTGCCAGAAACATAGCAGGCATTCCGTAAATGTGAGCGTGACTGCCTCTGCTCTCAGTGGCTCTCCCCAACCCTGACCTCCACCTCCAGCTGGTTATCATTTGTCAAGTACCACAGCCTTGCTGGCTTCCTAAGAAAGTTAACTACTCCTTTCTCCTGCTACCACATCACTTAGAATGTAACAATATGACCACGCTGGTTTTAATTATTTATTCACATCTCTAATTCCCTTTTTAAGACTCTCATCTCCTTGAAGGCAAGAACTATGGGGGAATCCCAGTGTCCACGAGTGGCAGAGGCAATCTTGCGGCATGAGAGTAAAGGCTGCTAGTACCTCAGTTTCAGGACTTACTAGTGCTACAGCATTGAGGGTGGAAGTTGTGCCTACAGGAAACCGACAGCATTCAAAGCCTTCCAGTTACGAAGATCCAGGGATTCCCAACCTACAAGGAGTCTTCTCCGAGGAGACAGATGCCCTGGGTTGCTCCCAGAATACGATACTAACATTGCCTCCATTTTCCAATACACCAAAACTGCTCACCTCTGGGGAAGGTATAAGTCACTTAATGCTATGGACCAAATGTGTGTATCCCCCAAAATTCTTATATTGAAGCCTTACCCCCCAATATGATGTTATTTGGAAGTGGGGCCTTTGGGAACTATTTAGGTTTACATGAGGTCAGGATGGTGACGCCCTCGTGATGGGATCAGTGCTCTTATAAGAGACTCTTTTCCCCTCCCTACCCCTGCCGTGTAAGGACACAGCACAGAAGGTGGCTGTCTGCAAGCCAATAGAAGGCCCTCACCAGAGCCCGACCATTCTAGCACCCTGATCTCAGACTTCCACCCACCAGAACTGTAATAACATTTCTGTTGTTTCAGCTACCCAGTCTACTGGCTTTTGAGCAGACTAAGACACTTAGCAAACAAGATGGAATGGGAAACAAGTGAGTCACTTAATCTGTCTATGCCTGAGTTTCTTTCTCTGTACAATAAGCCTAACAATCATACCTGCCTCAAATAGTGTAGTGAGCATTACATGTTTTGTAAGTCATACGGTGCTCATTCATGCATTACCCATACTGTTATTATCTTACAGGAAGGCGGAACAGATGAGGTATTGGGCTGGGCCCCTGTGTTCAGGCTGCTGCCCCACCTCACTTAAAGTGAATCATGGAGTCGACCTGAGCTTTTCCTCATCACCGCTTTATCAGCAACAGTTTCCCCTTGTTTCTCCCCACTCTACAGGGATGAGGTATGAGGAAATCATCTGCAAATAAGCCCACTTAGATCCGGAGGGCCTCTGGGAGGACACAGAGCGAAGCCTATTCAACTGCCCTGTTTGGATCTGCAGGTCTCAAGGAGGTCACCAAGGCCTGATAAAGGACAGCAGGGGTTGCAGTAACTGAAGGAGATGGGGTGCTCTCAGGGTAGCTTGGAGAGTAACTAATCATGTCAGATATGCTTCCTCCAGATTTCATTAGAACACATGGGGAATGCACGAAAATTTACAGCTGCACTTAGGCAAAAACCAAGGTTCAGGCATAATTGCTACTAATTACCTCATTGATGAGATTGATTGAGGAAAATATTCTTGATTACCTGCCACACGCTTTACCCTCTAAACTAGAACTTGCCAGGTGACCTTATCAATTATCCATCCAAGTCCATGGCTACATTGCTGTGAAAATCAGTAGGCCATCATCCGACTCCCCACCTTCCCACTCTAACTTTGCCTCTCTTGATTCCCTAATATGAATGTGCATAAGAATTATCTGGGGCTTCTGTTAAAATGTCCAGAACCCTGAGAGGTTCTGACTTTTTACTAGACCTGGAAGAGGGCCCAGGAAAAATGCATTTTTGGCTTGGTTTTTGTTTTTGTTTTGGAGATAGGATTGCATTCTGTCGCCCAAGCTGAAGTACAGTGGTATGATCATAGCTCACTACAGCCTCGACCTCCTGAGCTCAAGCAATCTCCTGCTTCAGCCTCCCGAATAGCTGGGACTACTACGTGGTGCAAACCACCATGCCCAGCTAATTTTTTCTTTTTTTACTTTTATTTTTGTAGAGGTGGGATCTCACTATGTTGCTCAGGCTGGTCTTGAACTCCTGGGCTCAAGTGATCCTCCCACCTTGGCCTCCCAAAGTTCTAGAATTACAGGCGTGAGCCACCACAGCTAGCCAAAAGCTGTGTTTTTGTTTTTTGCATTTATTTTGTAGTCAAGTGAAGCAGTGGGAGCAGAGAAGGAACAAAGAAATATGTAACTGGTTGTGATTAGTTGTAAAGGT